TGATGAAATGAGCATGCATGCATTATATGGTTCAATTCTATTCAATTCTAACTCGATTCTTGTATCAACCTACTTAATTCTTTAGAGCTCATGTCCTACACAATACAATTGTACAATCTAAGGATTGAATTCTTACCTACGCTTGTCAATGACGCTCTAAATGATCAAATGATGGAGGTTTTAAGCCAAATTCTCAAGTTCTCTAGCAATCCTCACAATTTGAGCTCAAACTTCACCTCTCTCTCTCTCTCTCTCTCATGTTTTGGTGCTCAAGCTAGAGAAAATGGGAGTACAAAAGTGTATAAGAGGTATTGAGGTGGTCTTATATAGGCTTGATTAAGAAATTCATTAATTTGGGCTTAATTGAGCATTAATTATTCTAATTTAATCGTTCTGAACCGAATTTTAATTAAACCTACCATAAAATTCTAAAAATTCCAACTAACACAAGAACCAAGTCAAATTTATGAACGGATGCCGATAAGGCCTTCAATTTACGGAATAGAACAAAATCAGAGACAGATATTTCTACACAGAACAGATAGAAACTCATATAACACGTAACACACGTAATGAATGCAAAATTTCACTTTAATTACTCATTAAGCATTTTTAATCATGAATTTCATGTTAATCAAAGGTCGGGATTGTTACACATAATATGATCTTTTTTAAAACAATGGTACAATGATCACATTTACATATCATGTTTTGTTTATTGTTTCATGTGTTAAAATTTCATTGGTTTAATGAGTCACGTATATGAGTTAGACAAAACATGATAAATAAAATATTTTTAAATAATAGTATAATGACTATAATTATAGATAATGTTTTATTTACCCTATCATATTACAAAATTTCATTAGTTCAATGAGTTACCTAACCATATTTATATATAATCTTTTATTTACCTTCTCATGTTATAAAATTTTATTAGTTGAATGAGTTACATGGCTCATATAAGTTATCAACTATTATTATAAATACATAAAATAGTATAATATGTCCTTCCATTACATGAGAGTCAATAGTACAAGAGGGATAACACATGCGATTATACATTCACAAGCTCTACTCTGAATTTATAGCATGTGGGACCAATAAGAACATGGAATAAGAGATAAACAATAATAGATGCCCTATAGGCTTACATCTTTTCAAGATCATGCTTAGGTACAACAAAAGTAGATTTAAGTCCAATACATGTAAAGTCTTTGGCTTGAATCAAAATAATAAAACAATACACAAATGAAAAGCCTTCAGCTCCAATTTCTTCCAAGCTATTGCCTTGTCGGAGGCATATCATCAACACCTGAAAATGTTTTTCCCACATAGGGTAAGACAAAACCCAATAAAGATAATCCAACACAATTTATGAATCTTAACAAGCATATAAGGTTTAATGCATATGCAATGCTCGTGACAAAACCTTTTTATCATTATTTTCCAAACCATGCAATGCCAAGCATTATATCTCATTTCAGAAACCATTTCCATTTCATTTAGAAAACCAAACTGTGAATACAACCATCTCTAGGTACGTGTCTATAAGTAGGCTATACAAGTTCTACCAATTTGTCATTTTTACTGGTATTAACCAAAAGACTCGACACCTATTCACACGGTTTTCTGGTCTTTTACCAAGAACACTTCGGCCAACTTAACATTGTGACCATACCCCTACCCAGATTCACCAAGTATTCACCTCATTTCTCAACATAATTAACATTTTGCAATGTGTTCAAAATGCAATAAATGCCATGGACGAGAAAATAGTTTCAATTTACCTAATTCTCATGCAAGTTCTACAACAATCATTGCTATCCTCCACCGATAACTCAAAATAGATATCTCTAAACAGATAATTAAATTTCATAAAGATATATCTTTCAAATTCTAAGATATGAGTGGTAATGCATACCCAATTCTACCACCATCATCATCAACAATCCAATTCCATGTTTCCAATGTCAATTCCAATTATCATTTCCAAATTTCATTTCAAAATCAACATTTGACATTCTAGGGCAAAATCCCCCTTTTATCCAAATCAAGTTCAAATATCAAAATCATCATTTTATCATATCCAAAGTTCTTTTCCATCTCCACAACCCTTTTAAAGAATCTATTTGGAAGACCCATCTTTTAGATTTCAAAACCAAAACCCATTTTTGTTCAAAACCTCCAAATCTCAATGTCGTTGAGGATAAGAGCAAATACACAAGTAAAAAACCATAAGAAGGTATAGAAAATCCCTACCTCAAGTTTAGAAGACCAAATGAGAAGTAGAGAAACTTCAAATATGACAAAACTCAACTCTATGCGGATCAAATAAGAGCTCTTGAAGTGCTCTATCTTTTTATCAAAGAGAGTAGGGTAGAGAGGTCCTTAGATTTAGGTGTATTTGTAGAGAGAAGTTAGGTTTCAGAGAGAGAGGGAGCTGATATAGGGTTTTGAGAGGAAAAAATATGAAAAAGTTAGGTAAAAAGATGTTTCTACGAACTGAAATATGTGCAGCTCGCTCAAGCGAGGAAAGTCTCGTTCGAGCGTAGAATGTACCATTCTAGTATTTCGTAGGCTTGCAAAATACTGAGAGTTGACAAAACTTGCTCAAGCAAATGAAGTCTCGTTCGAGCGAAGAGGCAAAATTATGGGTAACAATAGTATGGACTAACAAGCTACCAACCTGTGCCAAACGCAACAAATACATCCCAAAAGTCAAACTCAAAGAGGAATAAAGAAAAACAAGACACGACCAATTAAGTGAGGCAATGAAACCTGGATCCAAGATATCAATAGGTTGGCTCTAAACCATAATCGCTATATTAATAATTTGATATTTACACTTTTAAATCTAATTTTAATTTGATCATTCTTTTTAAATTTTTGTTAATATTTTTTACATGTATAATTTAGAAAATTGACAACTGTTTCAAATTTATTAATTTTAACCTTTAATTTAGACAAAAAACCAAATTAAAACCTTAAAAAATTGACAAGTAGCTTAAAATTGTTAATTTTAACTTTCAATGTATACAAAATGATCAGAATGAAAAGTGTATGGATTAAATTATTCAAATTAAAACTATAGTAACTAAAGAAAAATTTGAGTCAAACGATAGGAATGAAAAGTGTAATTAATCCAATTCCCAAATGAGCCCTAAAATAATGGAGAGTTTTTTTTCCATGAAATGAGAGACTATTGTTATTTCTTGTTATGTATGGATTTCAAAATGAAAACATGCACAAAAAATTTAAAAGGGTGATTTGGTCATATCCAAAACAGAACCTAATGGAATATTTTTAAAAAATATGGGTTAAATGAACATTTAAAAATAGGACTTTTTGAAAAACGACTTAGCTTTTTTAAAATAAATGTGATCCAAACATGTGGTTATTAATGTTTAATCTTCTTTTGTAGCACTATGTATTTCCTACTGTAATAGAATTATATTTGACTATTTGATTATCTTGATTATGAGTAAAAAATATTGGTAATTCTTATATTATGAAAAGGCATACGAAAAAAGAGAAGGTGATATGATATAAATAAACTAATAAACTCATAAGCTGCTTATTTAGGTGGGTACCCAAACCCTTAATCATCTGAGTGATGGCATTATCAATTGTACTAATTTGAACAATAAATAAATAAATAATACGAAACAAAATATTAATCTAAATTGATACAAAAATTAAAATTATAAATCAAAACATCTAATTAAAATTATAAGCCTCAAGTTATACAAGGTGCAAAATATAAGAATTACCGATATAATTTACTTATAAATTTTTCAGTTTGACATTATCGAAACAAAACATATTATACTGATTTTATAAAAATTGAGTTTTTATTTTTATTTTTCATATATATTTTTTATTTTTAGTGAATTTTGTTAATATTTTAATATTTTTTACTTTTTAAATACACCAAATCTATATAAACTTTTAAAAAAATATTTTTAAAAAATTAGTAAATATCAAAAATACAAAAACGCATTTTTAAGCAATTATTATTTTTTAATATATTTGTTCACAAATATTTTATGCATCTAAGTTAGATACATTTAAAAAGACAAAAATTTTACTTAAAATATTAAAAAAATTATTAAAAATATAAAAAATAAAACACCCATAAAATCAATCAAAACCAAACAAGATTCAGTGTGTTTGGTTTGAGTTTTTTGGATTAATTTTTTTGAAAATTGAGTTTTTTGGTTTTTGTGTTTTTTGGTTTTTAGTGAATATTTTTAAAATTTTAAACATTTTTTTTTACTTTTTTAGATGCACCTTATTTAGATATATTTAAAAAGTAAAAAATTTGTGAAAAAATATTTTAAAAAATTAATAAATACATAAAATTATAAAAAATATACTGAATTCTTGTATTTTTTTTGTATTTTTGGTATTTAGTAAATTTTTAAAAGGTTTTTTTCACAAATTTCTTACTTTTTAGGTATATTTATGTTAGGTATGTCTAAAAAGTAAAAAAAATTGTTTAAAATATTAAAAAAATTCAGTAAAAACAAAAAAACACAAAAAATAAGAAAGTAGAATTTTTAAAAAAGAGTTTTTTGAAAAACTCATTGTTATTAGTATTTTATTTTATTTTATTTATTTATTTGTTCAAATAATACAAGTTATTTGTTTGGAATGATCTAAGTAATTATAATTTTTTGACTTTTTATAAAAAAAATTTTAGAAAATATAGAAGTTATGTAATTTTAAAAAATTAAAAAGATAAAAAGTTTGGTACCGTAGAATATGGCAAACAAGCTAATGACTATAACAGACATAAGATTAGGTTAAAATAATTCACTAAAAAATAAAATAAATTAAAATAATTAATAAGATAAAATATTATATATAATTTATAATTACTTCTAATTTTTTCTCTTATCGCAATCATCAAATCAATTATAAAAAAAATCAATCAATTTTTTAAATACAACTATTTTTATATTAACCAAATTAAAATAACTAAAAAATAATCTAACCTTGCAAACAATGCCAGTCTCCGATTTCACCTACCGACACTTCTACTCTCTCTACTATGCTCTGAAGAAGAAGGAAGAGCTGCAATGTCTGCAATATTCCGATGGAGAACAAAGCTGAGGCACATAACTCCTACAATCACTTGTCTCTCTTCATCATCACCAACCTCATCTTCATCCTCTCACTATCACTCCTCTCTCAACCCAACACCACTCCTCTCTCTCCATCGCCACCGCCAACGCCAACCTCCTCTAGGGTTAGGGTTAGGGTTTCAGGAGCGACACAAATGGGACGGAAGCTCCGACGATTTCGACCAAATTCGCGCTCAAGTCAACTGCCCTCGCTGTTCCAAGCTCATGGCCATCCTTTTCTCGACCCGTCCCTTGTCGATCACTGGAGGCGAGACCGGTGTGTTTCAAGCCCTCAATCTCTGCCCTAATTGCAGGACTGCGTTCTATTTCAGGCCCTTCAAGTTGGTTCCATTGCAGGGAAGTTTCATTGAGATTGGGAGAGTTAAAGGGAGGGATGAGGAGGGGAGTGTTGGAAAAGATGATGACGAAAATGGGAGAGCTGGGGCTAGGATTTGGGAAAGGCTGAGATCCTATGGCGGAGACGGGGCGGGGAGTATGAGCGGGGTCGAAGTGAAAATGCCGGTGGGGCAAACGGTTGAGGTAAAAACAGGGGGTAGTGGGGAGGGGGATGGGTGCGGCGGGGCGAATTTGGGAAAGGAGTTGCCGACACCGAAGGAGATATGTAGGCGGCTTGATGAGTTTGTTATTGGGCAAGAAAAAGCCAAAAAGGTCCCAAAAAAATGAACTTTTTTTTTTAATTTTTGTTTTTATGATTATTGGTTGAGTTTGCATTCAAGAATGAAATAGATGTTCATGAGAAAGGAATTAAGAATGGCTCACTTCTTTAATTTCATAATGAATATTGAATACTTCGATTCTTCAATATGTAAGTTCCTTATGGAATTTTTGTTCATAGAATTGGATCGGAAATAATAGCTGTAGATGGAATTTGTGATTTTATCTATAGGGACAATGCATATTGACTTACTTTGAGTGGTTACTGTATTTACCAATGAAACATTAGGAATTATGAGAATGGAATTAAGAATAGTTCATTTTTTAAATTTCACAATGAATCCCGAACACTTTGATTCATCAATTTGCAAGTTCCTTGCTAATGCCATTTTTGTTGACATAGAATGTTGTCGGAAATAGTAGTTGTAGATGGAAATTGTGAAGTTTTCAATAGAGGCAATACAAAGTTATTTACTTGAAGAATTGCATGGTATTGTGGCTTGGGATTGAAAGGATTTGTTCCATGTGACAGGTGCTCTCTGTGGCTGTCTACAATCACTACAAAAGGATATACCATGCTTCCTCATGTAAAGAGTGAGTTATAGTGACATTCTCATTTTGGAGCATACTTTGTTTTTATAATACAGATGTACGATATGACATTTTGCATGATAAAATGATTCATATGGCAGATGTGCTTCAAATCCTCACTAGGCATTTGGAGGAAAATCAAATATAAACCTTGTTGCTTGGGGATTCAGTAAATATTGTCTTGAAGGTTCTTTAGGATGAAAAGGAACTGTAGGATTATTATCTTAAAGGTGCTATAGGATTGAACAAATAACAATGACATCACTTGGAGTACCATATGGTCATTGACCTGTCTAAAAAATGTCTCTTAATTACAGCTAAACTCCCTATCTGTTTGCCTGTCAAGAAATCAACCCTACTAGTTTAGAAATGTTAAAAGTTCGTGTTGGTTTTGTTCTTCCTCCTTTTCGTGTGAAGTACTAAATAAATAAAAGAGTAGACATCCAGTTGGTCAATGGCAGTTTTTGACTAACTATATTTTCTCTATGCTATATCTTAGAGATAATTAGAGTATATTTAATATCTAGTTGCAACTTAATGATCTAACTCTAAATTGAAATCTCATAAACCTTGGCATGTCAAGCTGGAATTTGGACCTAAAAGATATTTTTGTAGCCATGGAAAACTAGCATGTAGCCTGCATCAACGTTGCTTTTCCCTTTTTAAGTGAAATATGGAAAAATTTAAAAGTATATGAGACTTAATAAAGAACGTTATTCTAAATGAGATTATTTTCCCTCTCTACTTTATCTTCCCTGTTTGCTGACTACTTAGCCAACATGGAAGCCAACTAACAAGAGCACTTGGTTGTTGCTGAAGACCCTTCGGAACAAGATCAAGGGGCTGCTGATTGCAGACATGATAGGCACCTCTTGTGCCATGGCTTAAGGCCCTCTTTTTGTCATTTCCTTAGTTTTTGCTCTTGTTTTCATCTGTACCGAGAGAGAGAGAGAGAGAGAGAGAGAGAGAGAGAGAACCAATGTTCTAAATATCCTCGTTAAACTAAACCCATTCATCAATATTTGTTGTAAAGTATTGGATACTTTGTGCTTGATCTTTCATCCAGCACTTTGAAATTTTTGAAAAGTCTCATTAGTCATAATTTATTCAACTATGTTCAATGGTGCATGATGTTATAAGCTCTGTTATCAGAATCTTACGATTCGTGATTCAATTAACAATTTTTGCAAAATCGATACAAATCTATAGGTGAATCTATTTTGGAAGTGAATCTCTAATGAGTCGCACAATTCATAATCGATTCATGATTCGATTCACTCTTTACGATTCATGCAATTCTTAAAATCATTGTATCCGACATATTTTTTACTCGTTTTTTCTCCATTTTTTTAGTGAAAATGATATAATACAACTTCAAATAATGTTTAATACCAAAATAATCAATATATATACATGATTTGTTGTTATTTTAGTGATCATGGAGGTTTTAATAGGATCCAATTATCAGACCCGACATGTTTTTAACCTTCTTGTCATTTTTTTTCCCTTAAAAACATCATAATATATCTTCTAAAGATGTTTAAGATTAAAGTAACTTACACCATGAATTATCTATTGCTCTTTTATTAAATTAAATATAGTTGAATATTACATGGGTGAGGTAAATTATATTTTTTATAATGTTTTAGGCTTTAAAATAAATATCTTAAATAATTATTTCTTATTGTTTGGTCATTGTGCTTGGAAAAGTATGTATTCATATTGTCCAAATATCAATATTGTTGTTAAATTATTATTACTTTGGAAATTGAGAGTTTGTCTTTGTTTACTGTCTTTATTAAGAATGGTAGATAAGAAATATCTAAAAAGGTGAAGGTTGTTAGCATATTATATTAGCCGAAAGTGTTAGCATATTATATTAGCCGAAAGTTACACTAGGGTCTGTAATCATTTTATGTCCTCAGGGATCATTTTGTAATTGCCTCTCTTGTAAACCCTAATCTTCATTTATAAATAGGGGGTGATATTCTATCATACCCCAAGTTGGTTACCCAAGCTTCATGGTATCAGAGCTACACCTCTAGGGTTAGGGTTCAAAATGTACCTAGTTGGATCATCTGCTGGGTCGATCTCCTCCAGCCGTCCTCTGTCGTCTTCGTCTTCGTCTGCTCCTCAGCTCGTCTTCGTCTTCGTCTTCATCTCAGCTCCTCAGCTCGTCGATCTCCTCCAGCCGTTCGTCGCTCGTCGTCATCGCCCTCGTCGTCCTCGTCTCTCTGTCATCTTCGTCACTCTGGTATCTCACACCCTTGGTATATATAAATATATATATATATATATATCCTGATATATATATAAATATAAATAAAAAAAAAGAAACATGTTGAGATTGATCGCCACTTCATTAAGGAGAAACTCACTAGTGGTACCATTTGTACTCCTTTTGTTCAGTCTGGTGAACAACTTGCTGACATTCTCACCAAGGGAATTGGGAATAAACCGTTTCATGACATATTAGGCAAGCTGGGCATGAAAGATATCTTCGCACCAGCTTGAGGGGGAGTGTTGACATATTATAATCACCGAAAGGCACCAGGTTTTGGACAAACAGGCTCCGCTTCACGTCCTCCTCGGTTCTCAGTCCTTGTTTTCTATTCCTCCCAAAATATTTGGTTGTGTCTGTTTTGTCCATAATCACTCTCCCTCTCGTGGTAAGTTGGACCCTCGCTCCCTCAAGTGTGTTTTCCTTGGTTATTCTCCTACTCAAAAGGGGTATAAATGTTACCACCCTTCTTCTCGTAAGTGGTTTGTGTCCATGGATGTCACTTTCTTTGAGTCCCAGTCCTATTTCTTGTCCTCTCCGGTGTCAAACTCTTTGATTATGAGTTGGCTTATCCATTCGATGGTTCCAGAACTTGGTGAGGGCTACTTGTCTATGGAGACTGCCCAGGACATTTGGGAGGCTGTGGCTGTTACCTATTCCCGCAAAGGGAATTTTTCACAGGCATTTGAGTTGCGTCGCTCTATTGAGAGCACACTTCAGGGGGAGCAGACTGTTCTTCAGTACTTCACTTTCCTCACCAACGGCTGGAAACGCCTTGACCACCTGGAAGATTATAAGCCCGTTTGCCCTACTGATTCTATCGGGTACAAAAAGTTCATCTCACGGGAACGGGTCTTTAAATTTTTGGCCGGCCTAAATGTAGAGTATGATCCAGTTAGGGGTCGAGTTTTGAGTATGGATACTCTTCCTTCACTTCAGGAGGCTTTTGCCTATGTACAAAATGAGGAGAGTCGCCGGTCTGCTATGATGTCCCCAGTCTCTACTGACCGTTCCGCATTACTGTCTACTCCTCGAGATGGCCTCAGCCTGCCTCCTCCGTCTGCTACTAAGGAGTCTGTATTCTGTGATTATTGCAAAAAGCCGCGGCATACTCGTGAGACGTGTTGGAAGCTTTATGGGACTCCATCCGGGGGTCGAGGTGATCGGTCTGGTTCTCGAGGAGGTCGGTCGGGCCAATCTATAGGACGTGGTTCCTATTCCCGGGCTCATCAGTCTAGTGCCGTTGATACCCTTGATTCTAATTCTACTTCTGTTACCCAAACTTCTGATACTGAGATGGAGGATGCTTTGCGCCAATTGTTGGACCGCCGATCTTCTACTACTCTCAGTACCACTTCCTCGTCCTTTGCCCGCTCAGGTAACTTAGCATCTTCTCCTTGTGCTTTCCTGTGTCATACATCCTTGCCTTGGATTATTGATTCTGGTGCCTCAGATCATATGTCTGGCTCCTCTGATCTTTTCTCTGTCTATAAGCCCTCTTCAGGTCAGGACAAAGTTAGGATTGCCGATGGTACTGTTTCTTCCATTTCTGGAAAAGGTTTAGTCCAAGTCACTCCTACCATACATCTATCTTCTGTTCTCCATGTTCCCAAGTTTTCTGTTAATCTGTTATCCTTAAGTCGTCTTACCCAGGATTTGAATTGTAGTGTGACGTTTTTTCCTGATCATTGTCTTTTTTAGGACCTTGTCACGGGGAGGACGATTGACAGTGGTAGTGCAGAAAATGGTCTCTACTTTCTAGATCAACCGGACAAACTTGCTTATTCTTTCACCACGTCTTCTACTACCCCCGCTGATTTATGGCTGTGGCATCGGCGTCTTGGGCATCCCTCATTTCATTTACTTAAGCATTTATTTCCTTCTAGTTTCGCAAATCATCATGTGTCTGACTTTCTTTGTGAGTCTTGTCAACTTGGAAAACAACATAGAGCTTCTTTTACTCCCAGTTTGAATAAAAGCTCCGTTCCTTTTTCATTAATACATTCTGATGTTTGGGGTCCCTCTCGTGTTATGTTTGTGAAAGGTCATCGCTAGTTTGTTACATTTATTGATGATTTTTCTCGTACTACTTGGGTGTATCTCATGAAAGATAAGAGTGAAGTTTTCTCTGTGTTTCGCACTTTTCATAAGATGATTTGTACTCAGTTTAGGGCCACTATCAAAACATTTCGTTCTGATAATGGCGGAGAATACATAGCTTCTGGGTTAGGACAATATTTCTCTACTCATGGCATTATCCATCAGACCTCTTGCACCAATACCCCTCAACAAAATGAGG